GAGGGGAGAGGGGAGAGGGAAGAGGGGAGGAGAGGGGAGAGGGGAGAGGAGGGAAGGAGAGGAGAGGCGGGGAGGAAGGAAGAGGGGAGAGGAGAGGGGAGAGAGGGGAGGAGAGGGGAGAGGGGAGAGGGGAGAGGAGAGGAGAAAGGAGAGAAGAGAGAGAGGGGAGGAGAAAGGAGAGAAGAGAGGGGAGGAGAGGAAGAGAAGAGAAAGAAGGGAAGGGAAGGGAAGGGAAGGGAAGGGAAGGGAAGGGAAGAGAAGGGAAGAGAAGGGAAGAGAAGAGAAGAGCCGAGCCATCAGAACTGATGTGGCCTTGGGGGAGGAGGTTCTTTCTGGTAACAGTATAGATTTAGTTAGACAGAAAGGGAGAATACAAAAGATCTAGCAAAGCTAGAGAAACTGCTTAGCAGAAAACTTGCCTAGTGTGTGCAAGGCCCCAGGTCCAATGCCCATTATTACTTAAGGAGATGAGCCAACGGGATGCTGGGAGTTAGCAAGAATACATTATCCCCACTAACAGATTCTAAGTGTACTTCCCCTGAGCCCCGTGCAACATGCCTGTGGTCTCAGTTACTCAGGAGGTGAAGAGATCTCTTGGCCTTAGTAATTCGTGACTAGCCTAGAAAACAGACTCAAAAATCAAAGTGCTGGCCAGGTACTCAGGATGCAGAGGCAGGAAGTTTGCTACCAAGTTTTGGGCCAGCAAGGACTATCACACAGCAAAACCTATCTCAAAAATACAAATTACCAAAAACAAATGAGTCATTCAAGTATGGTGGCACATATCTGTAATTGTAATTAAGAATCCGAGAAAGGAGTTTCTTGAAGTTCTTAGGTCATCCTGGGCTACATATAGACTCAAAAAAAAAACAAAAAACAAAAAACAAAACAAGATAAAACAAAACAAAAAACAAACCCCAACAAACCAAACTAACAAAAACCAAAAAAAACGGGGTTGGGGTGGGTTAGGGATTGGGGTGCAGCTCAGTGGTAGAACATGCATTAAAATCCTAGATTTGCACCAAAAATGAAAAGAACTCACCTTACCCAGTTTTATTACTTCACGTTCTCTCTTCCGTTTGAGGATAGAGGGGGAAGAAAGGGGGTCAAGATAATCCCTCAACTTATTCTGATATGCCAGTTATTAGAAGAGCCACAACTTCCCCTCTGCCACTATTCCTTAAAGTGCAAGGTCACATGCAGGGATCGGAGGGAAGTGCACGTCTACAGTCTTACCAGTGAGAGGTAGATAGGTGGACCTTGAGATTGAAGCTACTTTGTTTTCACAGACTGCCTGCCAGGCTAGCCTGGGCTAATACTAAATAGTCTCAAAAAAATATAGTTACCATTTGCTTTGGGAAAATCCTTTCAAGGAGTCGTTTATAAGCATCTAATTTCTAAGACAAAAACCAAAACAATAACAGAAAAAGAGTTGTTAGTGAGATTCTGGTGGCTGCACTCCCACTCTGCTGCTCATCAAGAGGCCCCCTCCGGGCCCCCACCTGGCCTTTGCTGCTCAGGTTCTTCTGGTGACACCATGCCCGCAACACATCTCGGTGAATCAGGTTCACTGGGGGCAGATGCTCTGGAAAAGGAGGAACTGGTACCTTCCTACTAGTGTGTCCTGGTGTCTCAGTGTCTTGTGCTATTTCCTCCTTTGGTTTACAACCTTTGGGACAAAAGGAATATAGTTAGAACAACTTTTGCACAGGTGTATAGCATTTGAATCCCATACTCCCTTTTAGTTCTTTATGTATATAGCAACCCTCTTATGTAGAGGTACGTGTTTAAATGATCAACTAAAGAGATCATAGACTCCAGGGGAAAGACCCCAAAGACTCTTCAAATCCCAGTGGTTTTTTGCTAAGGCTAGGCTTGCTCCTCTGAGGATTTTTCCAACAATGATTGCAGTTAGGTGCCATTCTAACCCAGGAAACTCGACTAACTCCTTAGATCTGAGCTGATCAATGCTCAGAGGTGCCTGGTGCTTTTACCACAGGAGAAAATGCACTGCCCCAGGCATAGCAGCAGTCTACCCTCTGTGCTTCATAGAGTTCCAATTCTGTACGATTCCTAGAACAGATCAAGGACAGACAGACTGTACAGATAGTAAGTAAGTTAGAGTTTTATGCAGATCACAGACCCCCCCCCACCCCGTCCCAACACACACACACCTCTTATCAAGATTAGGTTCGTCCTCACTTAGTTTTAGGCTAACAGGTGTTATCTGTCCTCATTGCTTATTAACCCCAAAGCACAAAGACAACCCAGGTAAGTATAACATGGGAATTTGATAATGGAAAGAACCGGCTTTGGCAGCAGGAAACACGTTGCTTGCTTGTGTTTTGTTGTTATTTGTTTTTAATGAACTAAGAACCCTGCTAGACCACAGAGGAAGTGCAGAGCTAAATTACTCCTGGCCTTTTTTTTTTTTTTAAACACACAGACAAAAAGACTTAAGCCTTTATAGACTTACCGTTATCTTTCTCTGACTTTTTCTGTTTTTTCCCCGTTGCTTTAGTCTTTGCAGAAGATGTGCTTGGTTGACTAGACATCTGCCATTCTACTTCTTCCCCTGGCTCTTCTGCGCTCCGCTGATGACGGGGGAGTGGGTTACAGAATTATCTGGTGTCCTGAGGCAGCATACCCCTTTATTTGCTCTAAACTAACTCACATTTAAGGTCCCCCCAAGAGGTCAGCACACATGATGGCCAGTGTACATTCTCGAGGGGCATCATCTGAATAACCAACCTGAGTTATAAAATAGGGAAGCAATGATTGGGGAAAAGAGAGGGAGTCAACATGAAAAACAGACTTGGTGGCACACAACTGTAACCCTAGTCTAGGATCAAGGCCAGGCCAGCCAGTCTGTTAAGACTATCTTAGTGTTTTAGAGATAGGGTTTTTTTCTCTATGTAGCCTCTCTGGCTGTTCTGGAATTAGATTTGCAGACCAGGCTGGTCTCACAGCACAGTCAGAGGTCTGCCTGCTTCCGGGTAAATGCTGGGATTAGAGCCACAGCGACCTCCCCCCCCCCCCCCCCCCGTGGGGCTATTTTAAAGGAAGGAAGAAAAACATTGAAGTAGCTGTAATCTTAGCACCTGGGCAATGAATGCAGAGGAGTTACCCAGGATGTGAAGAGCCTTCAGCCTCGCTTAGGCTGCAGATAAAACTAAAAGATGAAATAGATATAAACAAAGCAACAGAAGATAGTGAAAGCACTCAAATAGTCCGCTCTTGGAGGAAGAAAGCCTTACTCCATGGAAGAAGAAAGCCTTACTCTACCTTCTCATTCCCTAAAGATTATTTTCCACACAATACTTGGTTCTAGGTTCACCCAAAGAATTTGTAGCCAGAGTGATGTATCAAAGACATTGTATCACTTCCCTGGCTGATTTCCCTTCAGAGCCTCTCAGACACGGCCTAGGGACACTTTCCAGTTGTTACAACAGCCTGGTGACAAGTCAGCACCAACCTATTTTCCTTCAGTTCTTACACCTTACCCCTCCACACACACACACACCGAGTCTTAATTCAAAGGTTATTTTGCTGGAATCTCTAAAATCTACCACATATTACCTCATTTCCACCTGGTCAATTGATTCCATCTGATTTTAAACTCCACAAGAAAGGCGTCCCTTTCCCCTTTTATCATTAGCAATAAGTAATAAAATATTCAGTTTAACTAAGGTAACAAAGACTACAAAAAAATCCAAAACAAACACAATCCCTACGCACAGGAAAAAACTAACAAGTATCACACCTCCTTTAGTAGAAACAAGACTAAACACATTCCTTACCTTCATTTAATCTTTATATAACTTCCTAACTACTACCGTCTTTTTCAACATGGACCAAAAGTTAAAAGCTTATTAAAGCCGGATGGTCGTGGCACATGCCTTTATCTCAGAGGAAGGCGAATCTCTTTGAGTTCGAGGCTAGCCTCGTCTACAAGAGTAAGTTACAGAACAGGCAGGGCTACACAGAAACTTTGTTTCAGAACGAAAAGAAGAGAAACAAACAAAACCAAACAAGAAAAACCCCTCCAAAACGAACAAAAAAGCCGGGAGAGGGTGGCACGGGGAAGGCAAACCAGCCTGGAGTCCCAAGGCACCCTCGGCTACAGAGAAATCCTGTCTCGGAAAAGAACAAAACAAAAACTCATTAAAGAAGTAAAACCAAGCCGGGCGGTGGTGGCGCACGCCTTTAATCCCAGCACTTGGGAGGCAGAGGCAGGTGGATTTCTGAGTTCGAGGCCAGCCTGGTCTACAGATTGAGTTCCAGGACAGCCAGGGCTACACAGAGAAACCCTGTCTCAAAAAAAAAAAAAAAAAAAAAGTAAAACCAAAAAGTCACTTGGCTCGGAAAACCTAGGTCTTTTCCACCCCCACTCCCGCAAGAGTGGAAGTGACAAATTAACATTTGCCTGTTACCTGACACCTCAGTACCTTCCCATCACAATAGGAACTAGCTTCGCCAGGACAAAGAGACTTATATTTGCATAACATCTTTATAAACATCTTTTGGACCTAACAAACTTCCTACACTAAAGCAAGGTGGAAATGGCTGGAGGTTTCTTGGGAAGGAATCCTGGAAATTGCTCAGGATTCTGGCTACTATAGTTAGGAGCCAGCAGAGCTTGGAAGGAGTTAGGTCTGCCTTCTCAAAATCCCTCAATTCTGAAGACCTCTGGATAAAATAAGGAGCCGAGGAGCCCTGTAGCAGGCACCTTTGGGTTACGCCCTCGGGTCCTCTCAGGGTAACTGGGGACTTCTGTTTCTTCTGAGGCTATCCAAAGCCGCAGTTTACATTCTGTTTTATCCTGTGGCCATTTCTCTCCACCTACGGGTATTCTAAATTCCTTCCTGACAAAACATCCCTTCCAAATCACAACCTCCTCTCCTAACACATCGACAACCAGGCCCCAGGGCCTGGTGCAAGGCCAAGTCGAGAGGGCCCGCCAAGACACACACCTGCCTTTAAAAAAAAAAAAAGAGGCAATTAAAGTGTAACATTGTTACGCTCATTCTTTTCTTCCCCAAACAAAGACTGCGTATACTCAAAAGAGAGAGGCCCTAGATTCACCAGTTTAGAAAGCTGAACTGTTAAAAACAGATCTCACCTTCTTGCTTCCAGCAGTCTCCATCTTGAGATTACAGGATACCTCCGAAAGTTCTTCCAGCTTCCAAATGACCTCTGGCCTCAGTCGGCTTTTAAAAATCTCCTCCTACTTCCTGTTGTCTTGAGGCCCTCTTCCGTTCCCCTCCCCTCTTGGTCCCACCCCCAACAAAATTGTGATGCTAAAATCTCGTTTGTGGCTGATTTTAATAAAGCTACTATTATGTGGTTTAATTATTAGGGTTTTTCCTCTGAACTTTTTTTTTTTTTGGCGGCAGGGTTTTACTGTCTCCTTGCCTGACCTGAAATGCACTGTATATCTAAGTATATTGTACTGTCTCAGCCTCGGGAATACTGCTATTTAGAGGTGTGAGCTCCTGACAACCGTAGATGTGGGAAATTTAAAACTGTACTTATTGCCGGGCGTGATGGCACATACCTTTAATCCCAGCATTCGAGAGAGGCAGAGGCAGGTGGCCAGCCTTGTCTACATAGTGAGACTATCTTTAAAAACAAAAAGGGAAGGAAGGAAGGAAGGAAGGAAGGAAGGAAGGAAGGAAGGAAGGAAGGAAGGAAGGTCTAAGTATTGCTAAGGGAAATGAAGTTCCTAGAGAATTCTGAACAAGCTGTATGTGTAGATTGCAAATTTATCTATGGAACTAGCACCCTGGACGTGAGTGAAAATAACCCAGTTCTTTTTACTCCTGAATTCCTTTTCTATAAGACCACAGGGGTGGGGGTTATTTTGTTTTTGCGGTTCTGGGGCTAGAGGCCTGGGCTTTGTTTTTGTATAGTAATCAATCTACCACTGAGCTACAATCCCAGACCGTAAAATTACAACTTTTGTAATTCCTCCCCATCCAACCCTCCTTTTTTTTTTTCTTCCGGTTCTTCATAATAGAAGTCCCCTCTGGAGCACTCTGAGATCTTCCTGTCTCAGCCTTCTCCTGACTGCTAGGATCCAAATTGTGCCCCACCTGACACCTGGCCAGGGTTTGAGTTTCTGATCTTCTAGTCTCTGACACCAAACCTGGCTTAAAACCATAGCTTTCTATCTGCCAACTGTTAAAAGGTTTTGCTTTTGCTAGTTGGTTGATTTTTGATACAGGGTTTCTCTTGTGTACCCTGCTGTCCTGGACCAGGCTAGTGTCGAACTCACAGATCCTCCTGCCTCTGCCTCCCGAGTGTTGGGACTAAAGGCACGTACCACCACCAGACCTTTCTCCCACCCCCACCCCCCTACCCCGTAAAAAGTTTTTAAAGTCTACTGAGTATGTAGTGAATTCTGGCAATAACATTCAGTCACTATTGGTTCTCGTTTTGCAGATGATGAAGGTTTGAGGAAAGCTTTGTTGATGACTTGCTTGCCCAGTAACTGAACATCAAGCTTGGCTTAAAATAAAGATCAAGACTTTCTCTTGGGGCTGGGGAGATGGCGCAGCAGTTAAGAGCACTGAAGGCTCTTCCAGAGGTCTTTTCTTTTTTCTTTCTTTTTTTTTTTGGTTTTTTTTGTTTTGTTTTTTGTTTTTTTGTTTTTTCAAGACAGGGTTTCTCTGTGTGGCCCTGGCTGTCCTGAAACTCACTCTGTAGACCAGGCTAGCCTCGAACTCTCGAACTCAGAAATCCACCTGCCTCTGCCTCCCAAGTGCTGGGATTAAAGGCGAGCGCCACCACCCGGCTCTTCCAGGGGTCTTAAATTCAATTCCCAACAACCAAATGGTGGCTCACAATCATCTGTAAGGGGGTCAGATGCCTTCTTCTGGTGTGTCTGAAGGTAGCAACAGTGTACCCATACATAAAATAAATCTTTTTGAAAAACAGCAACAACAACAATAGAAACCACTTGGCTCAGGTCAACAGTGTAATTTAAAAAAAAAAAAAGTCTCTTATGATGTCAGAGAATGCTCTCAGTACCACCATCTCCCACAAAAACAAACAAACAAACAAACAAACACCAATAAAATCAACCAACCAACCAACCAACCAATCAAACAGAAAACATTCCTTTTGGATATTCTCTTCAAGAGACCAGAAATGTAAAGTGAAAGACCATGTTTAGAAATGGTGATCTGGCTGGGCTCACGCCTTTAATTCCAGCACTTGGGAGGCAGAGGCAGGCAGATTTGAGTTCGAGGCCAGCCTGGGCTACAGAGTGAGTTCCAGGACAGCCAGGGCTATACAGAGAAGCCCTGTCTCAAAAAAAAAAAAAAAAGAAAAAGAAAAAGAAAAAAAAAGAAAAAGAAAAAAGAAAAAAAGAAAAAGAAATGGTGATCTGTGGGATTCAGATCTTCATTTGTCACCTCATAAAGGTAAGACCTGTGACTTACCTGTAACTGGTGTGCTGGAGAGGTGAAGGAAATGGATCTCAAGTTAAGGCTAGCCTGTACTACACAAAGTAATAAGCAGAGGATACCACACAGTGGTAGAGTACTTGACTACGTACTGGATGAACTAGGTTCAATCCCCAGGTAAGTTACCTGCCCCCACCTCCCCACTCTCCACCCTAGCACTCTTATCTCTGGATAAGAACTATTAAGCCTTACTAGTCAAGATTGTTAGAAAGTACAATTTGGTGGGTGTGGGTGTGGTACCACACACCTTTTAATATCAGCATAAAGGCAGGTAGATCACTGTGAGTCCTAAGCCAGCCTGATCTACATAGTGAATTCCTGGGCTGCCAAGCTTAACATAAGACCCAAACAACAGCCGGGTGGCGGTGGCCCATACCCAGCACTTGGGAGGCAGAGACAGGCGGCGGATTTCTGAGTTCCAGCCTGGTCTATAGAGTGAGTTCCAGGACAGCCAGGACCACACAGAGAAACCCTGTCTTAAAAAACCAAAAAAAAAAAAAAAAAAAAAAAAAAAAAGACTCAAACAACAACATACAGTACATCTTTTAAAAAATAGAAAGCTTGCCTGGCATTGGTGGTGCAGTCTACAGTGTGAGTTCCAGAATAGTCAAGGCTACTCAGAGAAATCCTGTCTAATAATAATAACAACCACAACAATAATAATAATAATAATAATGAAAGTTCTTGTTGAATAGTTTTTTTTTTTTCCTGAGTGTAATTGGAGAAAACATGAGTTTGGAAACGGAAGATTTATTTGTTTAGCTTGTGATCAGGTCAGGGCATGCATTTAGCAAGGTTGTCTATTGAAAGTCTACTTCTACACTAGGGTATGTGCGTATTTCATACAGACTTTCCAACTAAAAGGAAGTAAAATTAGACGGATCTGTGAATGGGCAGGTAACATGGCTGAGGTGGCTATAGGTAGAGATTCTGGACAAAGATAGGTTATGGGGATTATGGTAAGAAGCGCAGATTGCAAAGTCCAACCTTCCCTCAGCAGCTGTGCAACCCAGCACATGACCAAACACTGTTAGAGGACTCTTCTCTGTAAAACAAGGGTAACCTGGACAACAATAGCTCTTTCTCATAGGGAGTGATGTGTGACCTAAGAAAACAGCATCCCAGTGGGGCACGACAAGAAAGCTAGTGTGTCGAAGGCTGAGACAGGCAGTTTTAGAAATTGAGACCAGCCTGAACTACATGTCTACACAATGTTTCAAAAGCAACTAAACAGGCTGTAGATAGCTTAGAGATCAAGGGCACTAACTGCTCTTACAGAGATCCTGAGTTCAATTCCCAGTAACAACATGGTGGCTCACAACCATCTATACTGAGATCTGATGCCCTCTTCTGGCAGGTGGGCGGGCATACATGCAGACAGAGCACTAGCTAAAAACAAAACAAAAGCAACTGAACAACAACAAATGGCCACCAGAGTCTCTCACAGCAGAATAAGTTGGAGCAATGTCAGATTTAGATGCTTCTACTAGTATGAAAGAGATAGAATACAGAAAAGAGCTGTGGAGAATTCCTACTCTGTTTTCCCTTGTTCTTGGCTTTTTTTTTTTTTTTTTTCACCAAGTCCCCTTATAAGCCCGGAACTTGATATGTAGACCAAGCTGGTCTTTAACTTGTAGCAATTCAACTTTATTCTCCCAAGTGCTGAAATCACAGATGTGGTTTTGTTTTGTTTTGGTTTGGTTTGGTTTTTCGAGACAGGGTTTCTCTGTATAGCCCTGGCTGTCCTGGAACTCACTCTGTAGACCAGGCTGGACTCGAACTAAAAAATCTGCCTGCCTCTGCCTCCCAAGTGCTGGGATTAAAGGCGTGCGCCACCACCGCCTGGCTACAGATGTGTTTTTCTGTGATACAAACTAATAAAGGTGATAAAACCACCTTGGTTTTGTGTTTATTCGTTTTCTTATAGCCTAAGCTGCTAATCTTTGACTTGCTGTGTAATCAAGGTTGGCCTCGAACTCCTTATTTTCATGCCTAAATCTCCTAAACGTGAATGCAACTCTGAGCATCTCTCTTTCTCATATATATATATATGTTTCATATATATATATATATATATATGAAACAGTCCATAGAATGTGTGTATAGATAAAATGGAAAGGAAGGAAGGAAGGAAGGAAGGAAGGAAGGAAGGAAGGAAGGAAGGAAGAAAGGTATGTAGAAAGAAAGATAGATAGATAGATAGACAGATTTTGTTTTTTCTCTCTTTCCTTTATTATTATTACCTTTTTCCTCTTTTTAGAGCTAGAACAGTGTTGTTGAGGCCAGTCTTGGAACTACTGAACTCTTGGGCTTAAGCAATTCTCCAGTTTTGGAAGTGCTGGAACTGTACATACATGTTTCCAAGCCCAGCTCTTTGGAAAAGGTGTTATTTATGGATTTGTTTTGTTGTTGTTCTTGTTTTGCATCTAGTTCTCACTATATAATCTTGGCTAAACTTTCACTTGTATCGATCACCCATCCTGTGTCTGCCACCCGAGTGCTAGGCACAGGCATACAATGAACAACCATTCATGGCTAAATAGATACTAGTAGAATAAGTGAATGAAGTTAATGAGTACCTAGTTTACCTGAAGGTGAATTTTCCCAAGCCTATTGTATTGTGTGTGGCCATTTGACAAGTGGCTCTGAATGGAGAGACTGAGTATTAGTTATGTCTGTTCTATTAGACAGGCTACGATACTGCTTAACCTCTGCTGTGTATTCCTAGAAGGCTTTGGTCCAAAGCTAGG